AGATCTAGTTTGACTTTGAGGAATTGGCTAAATCAAACCGATTATGTATATAACAACAAATAACACATATCAAATAAACCACCATCTTAGTATGTTCTGTAAAACTACTAGCTAATTGCTAAAAAATTGCTAATTCATCCTTATATAAATATGTTTTTAACTTCTCGTAGGGTAAGTTATAGTAATCGCAAAAAAATCGAAAATGAAAATTTTTATATATCTTTACGTTTGAAAGGTTTCTGATTATTTTGGCTTACCTTAGAAAAAATTGATGTGTGTGTGCGGATACAAATTTTCGTCGACGATTTCGAAAACACCGATCAACCGATTTGAATAATTCAAAAAACATTCGAGTCGTATTGATAAGGCTGAATAGTTTTTGGCGAAGGCAGGTCAAGCCGTTCCGAAGATACAGGGCAAAAAGTGCCAAAAACGACAACTCAGTTTTTAAGACAACGGAGCGTCCGATTTTAATAATCCAATAAACATTTCACTTGTATTAACAAGATGAAGAACTGATTAAATTTTTGGGAAGGCAGGTCCTGCGGTTATTGACTCTAAATAAAAATAAGTTAGAAAATTGCCATTTGGCGGTCAAAAATGTTTATTGGACTTATGCACATCTAATTATCAGATATTTTCTAGAGATTTTCATAATGTGTACACATTTTGTGTAATTTTTATAATTATGGTACGGGAAGTTCCAGCAATTAGCTTTAAGGGGGTGTCCATGAATTGCATGAATTACTTTTGAAACAAAATTATTTTTGAAACTGATGCATTTGTGTGTGCGAAAACGACGACGAATAAACGACGATGGTTAAATAGAGGCTTAAATAAAAGTTTGTTAAATGAAGGTTAAATATAAGACACATACACACACGCATACCTTTTCTTTATAATTTTGGGTGTAGAACGATTTAGAATGACTTGAAATATAGAGAAAATGGATTGGCAGGCAAAATTACAAGCTCTCAATCCGAATATACCAATCGCATTTTTTACTACGAATAGTATTATTTTTTTGTCATACTTAACTTAATTATATTATTAAGTATTTATACAATTGAGTTCGTCAATCGCTACTATAATATAAGGAAATTTTCATGTGCGACTTTATTAGATAATTTTGTTCAAAATGTATGAAGTTCTCTTAATGTATCAAAGATTTTATTTTCCATAATTCCAGAAAAATATTATTTTTCGCGTCATACATTTATAATTGATTGACATGGCCTTATATCAACGCATTTCTTTTTTTCTGCCAAATCGTAGATCTTATTCTTAGTTTTAGACACTATGACTAACACGGCAATTACCATATAATTTTAATATTTAATTAATAACATTATTAATTTATAGGTATTCACATACAAAACTATACTAGTTTTTATTAAAAAAAACTTACATTATTTTCACAATAACAATATAAACCTTATTTAAGTGCAAAGTAAAGTCGCTAATGTCTTATTAATTTTTACACCAGTAACTACAGAAACTACAGAAACCCAATAAGCAGCAACAAGATAATTTTGGATTATTAATCAAAAATTTTACTGGCTAATTGACTACCAATACTGTACCACATTTTAACACAGCATTTCACTTCATCATGTCATATCTTAAACAATATAAAAATTACTTCATTTAAGTTTCAAGTATATTATTAAATCATTTAGTTAAGAATAATGATAATTTGGTGTAATATCTTCATTATAAAACATAACTTAGTACGATCATTTTGGCTTGAAGTATTTCTCTAACTATGAATCAATTATAAATAATTTTCTAATCTAAAAATTCAAATTAGAGATAAATAATTTCAAGCATCAATCGAGATACGTGTGTGTTGTTTGATCGTGCATAGTTTTCATTCTGATCGCATACAGTCAGAAATGTAATCGTATTTTGGTATTGCGGGCCTCCAAACGAATATTCGCGCCTGCGCCTTATCAAAGTAAAGCACACATTCAAATTACGGTATATCTATTTACGAATACAAATAAATTGCGCTGCATCTCGAGCCCAAACAAACACATGCAATGCCTATAGAGGAACCGCGCTGTTTGGGTGCCCGCGACATAGTGAGAGGGCTGGAAGAAGTAGGCTCGTTTGTTAATATGATAGTATATTATTATTTTACACAAATTTAGTGTTCAATCAATTTTACATCATAATTAATTTTTTCTGTTGTTTTCCCTGGTTTGATTACTGAATGATGACACATATCAAGTGTCGAAACGTTTAATGGAATAAATAATTTGGTTATTTAATCTTTTTTTAATTCGACGATTGGGCTGCAAAAACATTACAAATATGTATCAACGTCGACAAAACTATCGTGTATATATATATATATATATATATATATATATATATATAATTTGGAATGAATTCCAGTCCAAACTTCGAAAAAAAGGTTAAACGAAAAAAATCCTCTATTGAGTATACGTTTCAACACTTGGTTGACCAGGGCAAAAACAAACTTTAAACACTAATAATAGTTTAAAAAATATTTCAACTTTAATTAGAAAAAACAACACATAACTTATCATTCAAATCTGCTCTAAGCGACTAAAAAAAAGTTCTAAAGCGACTAAAAAAAAAAGACTAAAAAAAGTCGTGAATTATTAATGACACTATTTAAGAATTTATGCAATAATAAATATCAAAGGATAGTTATCCTTTACATGCCATCTTTTTGAATCCTCGCCAAGGCACTCATCTCAGCAAACTACACCAAAAGATTAAAAAGTAAAACGCCTTTGGACCTAACTGGCATTTCAAGTCAAACTAGATCATACTCCTTTCTTAAATTAGGAGAGATTGCAACTGTGCACTCTCTCAAGCATTCAATAGTTTATTTTGCAGACAGCTTCTTTGTTATTTTGTTATTCATAAAATTCACCTAATGTCCATTGGACAGATGTAAATTATATCCAAAATAAAAAAAAATCTTTTTGAATTGTCTATAATTTTAGATTGATTGTACTTATTGTATAGTTTGCTATGAAAAATAAAACAAACAAAAAATTGTCTCATAGACAAAAAAGATAAAAAGAAGACGCTTATCAGTTAACAATTGAAACTGAATTGAGTTCACTCAGTGAACTTCGAGTTCAGTTCGATTTATAGTTTTTGATTCTTAGTTTAGACACAGACAGTTTTTTGTTTAAAGTTCCCATATTTTTTTTGTGTAGTGGACCTTTTGAGCTTTGCCATGCCGATAATTTCTTTTATACATTTCTAAATGTACGAAATTTATTGTCAAACATTCAAAATGAATATACATGTTATTTTTAAACTATTAAGGTAATTAATATAAAAACCAAAAATAAAGTAAGCGAAAAGTAAATATTTAATTATCAACATTTGACAACGATTTTGTAAGCTTGAATCTTACATTTCCAGGCTAATGCTATCCAGTCTATATTTATACTACAGTGTCAAAAAACAGCAAAAAAATTATATTGCGACCTCAAATTGAATGCGTTCTTATACTACAATGTATACATTTTTATAAAGTAATTTTCATAATTTTAGTTCTATTTAAACATATTATATATAACTTTTTATTATAGACATAGTAAATATATATTAACATGGTGTGTTGTGATTCAATAATGTGTGACCCTCATTTTCATTTCGTAGTTCCTGAAAATTTTTTTTCGCCGACGTTGGACCCACTGAAAGTTGTCGTGGACCTTTGGGGGTCATGTAACCCACTTTGGACATCACTGATTAAGTTATTAGATATGTTGTTTTCTTAAATTAAAGGTTAGATTTTTAAAACTAATTATAGTGCTTTAAGTTTTAGTTTTGTTCTTGTTTGAATAGCTGAATGATGATAGTCATCAAATGTCAAAAGGTATTATATTAGATATTCTTATTTCGTTTTTTTTAAACTTAAATTTTGTTTTTCTTTTCGTTAGGTCACATAGTAAGACTAGGGATTAAAATTTGAGCAGACCTACTCCTCAAAACATAGAAATAATTAAATAATAAACTTATAAAATTCTTTACGTAAGTTCCAAATAAATTTTATCTACTATTATATTCTACATAAGATATTTCTAATTCAAATTAATTCAATAGTATATTTCTTTTTTGATTCTACGTTTATTATTTTTTTTTTTGAACATCGATATTAGAAAACATTTTAACATTTTTAATATTACTAAATTCTCATATTTTATTAACGTCATCATTATTAACACTACATCCGCCCAAATATAAAAATAAATTATTAAATATAAATTATTATTTAATTCTTGATGATATACAAAAAAGGCCTTTCATTCACATTTATTTTTAAATGCAAATATAGATAAAAAGATGAAACGTGTTCGCTTTGTGGAAGAATTTAATAATCTGGGATTATCAAGTGATTAGTTTTGATTTCGATTAGTATATTAATATGTATTGTTAATGCGTTTCTGCCAAATTATTTTCACTCTAGTATATTCGTCAGCGCTCCAACTAAGAGTCGGCGGCGTAGCGGGCGCGCGACCGAGACATCCATAGGAAAGTGAAATGAAAATGTGCGAGCTTCGTGCCCTTCGCCCCTGCCCGTGGATTTTCGCTTTCATTCCGGCCAATACGAGCACTTTCCCTGCTTCCACCATCCCCACCACTCCGCCGCACACACGCTTTGACCCTGACAGAGAATACACAAACGCGACGTGCGTTTAGTTGAGTCGGCACTGCAGCCGCTGTAAGTTCGTTTTTTCTGTATTACAGTATATTATATAAACGGCGCGCGCGCTCATACTTTTCTTCTTCGTGCGTTTCGCGTCATTTTTTCTCTATTTCTTCAAAAGTTGTTAATTTTCTTCGTCGTCTATCACTTGATTTTTTCGTAAGTGATTCAATTACACCAACAGCCGTCGTTGTGCATAGAATGTGTGTATGTGAACAGTTGTGCAGAAGTGTTGCAGTAGACGTTTTGTCGACGTCCCAATTGTTTTAATAAACCGCGAATTAAAACTCGTGCTGTATGTGTGACGTGCTGTTTCCCACTTTGTTACCGTCGGCGTTGTTTCAAACGGCCGTTATGGCTCCGAGAAGACATACGCAAAATCCGGCACAAGGGCTGCTGGAAGCCGATTTACTGGACGCAGATCTCACCAGATGCTGCGTACCGACCGGCGATTGTTTGCGCGCCAATTCGGCGGACAGCCCGGCTTATGCCTTGATCAGCCTGGACGATTTACGCGACACGGTACGGGTGACATGCAACAACGAGAGCTGCACAGTGGGCCGGTATATGCATCGCGAATGTTTCGAATCCTGGGAGCAGAGTGTTTTGACTTATCTGAAATCTTGCGGACGTGCCAGGTCCTGGTCTGAACGTCAACGCCATCAGAATTTGTGGACTAAAAAGGGATACGATTTAGCTTTCAAAGCTTGCGGTTGCCGTTGCGGCCGCGGACATCTGAAGAAAGATTTGGATTGGATGCCGCCGCCGCCGACGAGCGGTCTCTTCGGGCGCGTGGATGAGGACGGCGGTCTTGCAAATTCTGGAAAGAAAAAGAAGCGACGTAACCGCGGAAACAGTCGTCCGACGCTGGCTATATCCGCCGCTCATCCGGTAAACGGGTATCATGCTAACGGTAACGCGGTCGTACAAGATCAATTGTTGCGGGGTAGAGCCGGCAGCTTGTCTTCGAGCACGGGATCATCCTCGCCTCCAGCGTCGGCGAGCAGCGATCAAGGCGCTTCGCCTCTTCACGGGGCCACGGGAGCTCTCAAAAAGAAATCGTCTGCTATCAAAATTGATTTCTTTTCTGATCGCATAAGGTTAGTGAAAATTATTATTCATGATGAAAAATGCACAATGCTTAACTATGTGAAAGATGAGGCTTTAAGTTAATGTATTTCACTTCTTGACGGAGAATTACATGTTTTCGCGTGAAACATGCTAATGTTAAGTTTTCTCGATGTTTCAAGTTCGTTTAAATCAAACGACACCAAATTTTGAAATGTGTGTGTATAAATATTTTTCGTCGACGTTTCCTCAAAAGCGGCTAGACCGATTTCAAAAAAGTTAAAACCATTTGATGTAACTCGATAAAGACCGGCGTTGCTCAGTTTTGTGCGGCAATCGGGCGAGCTGTTTCTTTGTAATTGTCAGAATTGTGCAAAAATTTTCTTCTACGTTATAGTTCTTGTACCGATTTTAACAACTCTATACTTTTCGAATGTTGGTTGGCAATCGAATTTCGGTAAAGATTGACTGAACTAGCTAGATATTTTTTATATTTTTTTTATCATTGTACATCTACAACATAGCCCAAATTCACATGAAATTTTAATTCATATTTAATTAATTTTTGTCTTTAATTCAGTAACTAAATCAAACGCTGCTGTTTGCACGTAAACTTTCCTAATGATTTTTTTGGGAATTCGAATTGCCTTTTTTATTTGTCAAGATGCAATTATAATCTGTTTTTATATTGTCAAAAACATTTAGTAATTATGAAGGATAATATGCAAAGTTAATAGATTTTTTTTGTGTAATATAGAACCCTTTTTTTTTGTTGGTAGAAAAAATGTTCTTATATTGTAGTATAATATTCTAATATTTTAATCGTGTTTTGTAAAATTATACTACCCGATGAGGCATTTGGTGTGGGTTTTATTATTATAATTATTTTTTTTATTTTCTTATAAATTAGAATCTGTCTATAAAGAAAGACATTGAGTAATTAATTAATTTGACAAATAACATAGAATTTTAAAAATAAAACACATTTTATTTATGTACTAAATTATATCTTAATTAACTTTTGATATTGTGGGTTTTATTTAGTACTACTTTAGCAATAAGAATTTATCCTGGCCATTTATCCTGCCATCATAAAAATTTAATAAAAAAAAAATAGTATTACATTTAGTTCGACGTGTGTTTTATTTGACTTCGATTATATTTAATTGTTACCAATTAATTTATCGAAGTCAAATAAAACACACGTCGAACTAAATGTAGTACTAATTTTTTTTATTAAATTTTTCAAAATGCCACAAATTATACGATCCCCAAGTTTTATTTTAATGCCGAATTCACTACTACGCAGCTGTATATATTTCATATAATATTTTTCTCATTTTACGCTTCTCAGTTATGATGCTAAATGTCATGAAGTCACGATATATATTCGATGGTATAAAAATAACTTCTAGATATTATATTTAATTACAAAATCAGCCGTAAATTATATGTTTTCGGAATATTGATCAAACTTAGCAGTAAATCATATAAGAAAAACTGGTTTTGGCCACGCTTCACATATGTATTTATGATTTATAATTGCAAAACACCTATTATTGTCTTTGGCGGTTTATAGTTGGGCATGGCACCAAGGTTTTTAATAAAAAATATGTGTGTCAATTAACTGTTCATTTTGGAATATTTATAAAATAAGGTTTTTGGAAATCCAAATCCTGATTATTTTTCCTCAAGTTTAAGTTTCGAAAAAATCCGATTTGCTACTTTTTTTCTGCTTTCTCGACGTTTCAAGTCGTTCTGAATCGAATGAGACAAATTTTTGAAAAAGCGTGTGCATGTGTGTATGTGAACCGATTTTTGAGCTTTTATCAACATTTCTGAAAAAAAAAACGGCTGAACTGATTTCATAAATTTAAAAACCATTTTGGCTTGGGCATGGCACCAAGGTTGTTAATAAAAAAATACGCATGTCAATTAACTGTTTATTTTGGAATATTCATAAAATAAGGTTTTTGGAAATTTAATTGTGTTTTTTTTTAATTTCTCAAAGGATAAGTCCCGAAAAATTCGATTTGCTAATTTTTTGCTTTGTCTACGTTTCAAGTCATTCTGAATCGGATGGGATCAAATATTTTTGAAAGTGTGTGTGTATGTGAACCGATTTTTGACTTTGCGTCCACATTTTCTCAAAAACGGCTAGAAATTTCAAGTCATTTTAAATCGATGGACACGAAATTTTGAAAAAAATATGTGTGTCTATAAATACTTTTCGTCGAAGTTTTCTCAAAAACGACTAGAGCGATTTCAAAAATTTAAAAACTTGATGTAACTGATGCAGCGATTGGCCAAGCCGTTTCTTTGTAACAGAAATGTTTATTTTCTCGTCCACTTTTTGGCTCACAATTTTGAACCAATTTAAAAAATTGCAAAATTGTCCGAAAGATATTGGTTTGGGCTGTTTTTTTTAAAATAAATATTAAATTCTTTCTTTTTTTTCGTGATTTTGATAAAACTTTACATGACGATAGATTTCGCAGACTGAAATAACATAGATACTAAAATATTATAGGCCTTTGATAAATTGTTTAATTATAAAAAATCATCAAAGGTTAAAATTTCATGGTGCATTTGAGCGATTCTAATAAGAATCTATGCCGCAGCATATGCACGTACTCTGTTGTTTCTCCGATAGCTACTGATTACAGTTTACGGTCGCACTTAAATAATACATTTTTAGTCCGAAATGGATGAAATGAAATATGCTTAACAAGTTAATTTAATTTATACAATTGCAGACATTAAGAGTATTTTTGAAAGACGTCAATTGGAAGTAGTATTAATTTTATGAAATCGAAAATTTTACTTTCAAAATAAGCAGTTGAACATTTTACCTCAATCGCTTAATCTTAACTCTTACTGATTAAAATAACTAGTTGTATTATTTTATTTAATGCCTTCAGTTAATTGCAAATCATTTTATTAAAAAAATTTTTAGTAATTAGAGGAAGTACAGTATACAGGGCCGGATTTAGAAATTTGGCGCCCTTGGGGCACTGACGAAGATGCCGCTTCATTCCTTAAATAGTTTTCGTCTCATTTTTCTAAAGTTAATATAAGAAAATTTATTACAAATTAAATACTATAATAAATTATTATAAATAATGTAACGAAATATTCATATTTGTTCTAACAAAAATAATTATAAATTGTGCACCAAGGACTTTCTTCACAGGCGGCACATTCGACAAACTTCTTAACTTCCCGTACGATGAGTTACAGTAATTGGAAAAAAATGGAAAATTAAAATTTTTGTTATTTTTTACATTTTAAAAGTTCCTGAAATATAATAAAAAATTAGATATATATTTAATTATTTTTTCAAACGAGATTAGGTATTTTCTAGTTACTGGAATTACATTAATTAATCCTTGCTGATAAACAAACGTGCAAAGTTTCGTTCGTTCATAATAATTGTAATAATCATAGACTACGCAAGATGTGTTATATTATGTAAAAACGCAATACGCCGTTTAAATATTGCATAATACTTTAAATAACAACGCAAAATCCAATTAACAATATGGACCAAGCGTAAAATTAGCATTTAAAAATAATAGCAGATGAAAAGATAAAAAGTCTAAATGAGCAAATCTTTAATAAGTCTTTCGTGCGTTTTGAGCAAAACATTAGCAACGTATATAATAATGCACAGACAATGAAACAAGTCCATTCGAATGTATGGGTGTGCGTGGTTTATTTTTAGATTATTTATTTATGCTACGTGTGTATATTAGGGACCGGTTTCCAACACCGCTTTACGCGGCACATACACTATTGCATACCAGTTTTCGGTACTGGGACGATGAGGAACATGTGCGAAGCGCGAATTCCGAAACCGGTATATGCGCAAATTCACAATGTTATCCAATCGGTCTTATTGCCGTTTTTTTAACAAACGATCGTTATACTCAAAGGATGGAAAATGGTGGAATTGAAGTTAAGGGGGTATTATATAAGCACTAATTAAAAACATATCTTCAAAGCAATTATGCTCTTTGTTTTGGTATTTCAAGTAAACTAGCTTATACAGACGTAAAATTTAGTTTTGATCATAAAGCGGAGAGTTTCCATATTATTTATATATGCCCACCATAGGCATAGCGCAAATTCACAAAGTTATCAAATCGGTCTTATTGCCGTTTTTTACAAACGATCGTTATACTCAAAGGATGAAAAATTGTAGAATTGGAGTTAAGGGGGTATTATAAAAGCACTAATTAAAAACGTATCTTAAAAACCTACAATTTTCCACACTTAACACCCACCAAATACTTACAAACAGAAACGAATATTCATTCACTAAACAACATAATAAAAATAGAGAAATTCAAATTAATACACAAAATGAAATATAACAGAATTAAAACAAGTACAACATATAATAGACACAAATCAAGATATACACAAACACTACACTAGACAATAGCAATTTTCACATTAACCACAATAGAAAGAAGAAATTGAGAGGAAATGTCATATTGAGCGCTAGTAAAATATATAATGAATTGCCAAACGATATTAAGATGACCAAAGATGACGACAAATTTAAAAGAAAAATAAAGAAATATTATAAGGAAGATGAAGATTGAATAGATATTTTAATTATAATAAATATTATATTGTAGTATAATGAAATAGACAAATGTATATATAAGATAAGAAAATTGTTTTATGATCTCTCATACCAGATACCCCTGCCTGACTGAGATATGAAAATAATATATAAATTAATAATTAAAAAAAACAATGGTGCTTTTTGTTTTAATGTTTTAAATAAACTAGCTTATACACAAGTAAGCTTTAGTTTCGGTCATATGGCGAAAAATTTTCATGTTATCTACATATATCTATCATAGACAGAGCGCAAATTCACAAAGTTCTCCAATCGGTCTTGTTGCCGTTTTTATAAACAATCATCATTCTCAAAGATTGAAATATAAGTTAAGAGAATATTTTAGAGTATAAATTTAAAAACATCGTTTTTTTTGTTTCATATTTTCAAACAACAATG